TGATGCACGGCTCAACTTTCCTTTACGGGCTCTGACCGCATCGCTTCCTCCTCCACTCATTTCCCCATGCATGAGAGAATAAATAGATATCGCGTGCGCTGAGTCACAATCATATAGCGATTGACATGTCGTCTGCTCTCGCCAAAATCCTCCCCCCTTCGCCCTTTCCGCTGTCCCGTCGCTCTCCCCGTTCCCTCTCTTTCTCTCTAGCCGAATGTGGCTCCTCCGTGACTGGCATGCAAGGGGTGCTTCTCTCCCCCAATTACCCCGGTTACTACGACAACAACCACGAGTGCATCTACTCCATCCAGACGCAGCCGGGCAAAGGCATCCAACTGCGAGCGCGAGACTTCCGTCTGGAGGAAGACGACAAACTCAAAGTGAGCGATGGGAAGGAGTTTCCCTCCCTGGGCGTTTGCAGCCGCGTGAGCGTGCTTGGAGGCTCAACCACTGATCATCTTAATAAAGATCCACCCCACCCCACCCCACCCCTCCCCTGTGGCGTCACTTTTCAGGTGTTTGATGGCAGCAGTAATTCGGCTCGTCTGCTCGGAGTGTTCACAGGCAACGAAATGCTGGACACAACCCTGAACTCCACCTCGAGCTCCATGTGGCTGGAGTTTATCACCAACGCAGACAATACCAGTAAAGGCTTTGAGCTCCACTTCAACAGTGAGTCACAATTTCACCGGTAACGCAAATGTAATACAGTAAGTGAGGTTTTTCCTTCAAGTTTAACTCATTCAATGCCAGCCGTGGTTTGTTTTTTTTTCTCAAATTGGGAGAGCCGCCGCCAGCCATTTTTCACCATTTCGACTCATTTTTTGAGGGCCTACAGAGAATTGAGTTCTGTAGCTATGTAAGCGCGGAACTGAGCAAAAGAAAGCATTTACCTTTCTACCTTTGACCACTTTTGAGTAAACAGCAGTTGAACATTGGTAAGCTGCTTGAAAATATTCGTTTCCGAGAACAAATTCTGAAATTGCGAAAGGATGCATTTCAAGCAGAACTTTCACTCTGGTGAATTTTATGTATTGATTTATAATAACAGTTTATTGCAAGATAAACACTGCACTTATG